TACATAAGTATACACAAGAAAAGCACGCACTGGACAACTCTGAAAATGATTCTACAAAGAAAAGTGTTCCTTTCTTTCTTTGAGTCACAGTGACAAGAAACTCTGACAAATATTTGTTTTAAAACGAAGTTCACAATTACAGTTCACATTCTTGGAAAATGCTACAGAGCCGTGTGATTGCGTGCCTGGCAGCTTTTTCCACACCGACTCTTGTCAACCCGTCCAGCTCTACACATGTCAACCTTCATCGTGGTTTTCTTTTAGATTATGCGAACGAGTCAGTATAGTTCAGATGATAAAATGCGAACGAGTCAGTATAGTTCAGATGATAAAATGCGAACGAGTCAGTATAGTTCAGATGATAAAATGCGAACGAGTCAGTATAGTTCAGATGATAAAATGCCTAATGAACATTGCTGTTAAAAACTTGCTCAAAGTTGCCATTTTTCCCCCTTCTTAAAATCATGGTTGAAATCCTTGAAGGAGGGAAAAACCTCCAAGATCTACCTGTTATCTTTGACGCAGCCGTAAGAAAAACACATAACACTGCATGGCTTTCCTTGCCCTTTGCACTCCTTTGTTTCACAAGTTGTACGCATCTTTCCCATTGGCTGGATAATCTTCACCAAAAGCTTCTCTTCAGGGATGTCACGAGCAGCCACCTCGGCACATTTCTGGCAAATAAATACTGGAGGAGAACAGCCGCACTGTGATGAGGCAAATGAGGCATCCAAGCAAATAGTGGTTGGTGTATTTTTTCGAGGTACCGCGCACTCCTGGTTTTGACAATTTGGTGGATGCCAGGGTTCATAGACAAACTGCCAGTCATCAGCTCCTCCTAGGAAGGACATCATTGGCAAAGTTATGTGATTGACAACTATGCTCAAGATAGAAAACTAGTTCAGATCTCAAACAACAAGGAATACTAACACAATGTTCCATTCCCATTTTCTACACTTTTCATCATGATCCCTTTCACCTTTGGTTTGAGACTGCCCATAGCCAGTCCTTTTGGAATTTCCAGTTTTTCTAGTTTCATCACATATAGGGTGGGATATTTTCTGAAAAAACACCTTCCGAACTGACAGCAGTTGAGCAGAAAGCCACTCAAACCAGATTGACCCAAAAAGAAAATACGAATGATTGATTTTTCATTGTCAGTGACTGTAATAATTCAATACCTATACCATTATTGCTTTTCATCAAAGTTCCTGACATTTATTCTGAAATATAGAATTCTTTAAATCAAGATGCCAATTTCAAGAGTTTCAGTAGCACTCAAACAACTTTTTCCTTTATTGCTGATGCACAGATTGGCTCACTGTCCTCTTACCACTGAAGTCAACAATTTTCCAAAGTTTTGTAAACCTCTGAACATTTTCATTTGATTGTATCACCTTCAAAAGAAAGGTTTAGTGCACAATTGTACCATGAAGTTAAGTTAGCAGATCTCCAGTCTCAATGACACTACAAACAACTGTCCCTCAAAATTCTGAGGGATCAAAACCTGAGAAAGTTCAGTCCAATCATTGCCATAAGCCTTACCAACATCCTTAAGTGGATAATAGTAAAGTAGGACCTGTCCAGCAGAGTTAATGATTGGCTGAGGACCATAGGCGAGCACAGCTAGGATATCCAAACAGACATCACTCTTAAATCTCATCAGTGTTTCAACAAATTGTGCATGCTGTTTACAGTCAGGACAGTACTGTAAGATTGACATAATAAGAGCAGGGCAGCTGAGGGATGCATAACAAAGTCCATCTTCATCTGGCTCTAAGACATCTTTGGAAAAAAAAAAAACAGAAAGAATACTGAAAATTTTATTGAAACACAAATTTTGTACAGTGATTTTTTTTAATTGTGCAACAAGCATTTGGAGTTGGAGATTGTGTAATGTTGTGTAAACACATTTTATGAATTAAAATATTGTTTCATTTGTGACATACTACTAAAAAAAACTGTCAGAGAGAACAAAAAAAATATAATTCTTAGTTTCTAGCAACATGGATTAAAAGTAAACTTTATCTTTTAGTGAATTTAGGAAACATGGTTGTGTTGGCTTTGTGGACCTAATATACAGAGTCCAAATAACATGAAAACCTTTGAAAAATAATTAACTAACAGTACCAAAGCCAAAATAGTAATACCTACAAGTATTGGTAGTTAGAAAAAATGTGGATTTTAATTTTTAACTTTTAGGGCCATCAAGATCCTTATGCTGTAGAAATTCTAATTCTAGTGATTATCAACCAAAAACATCTGATTGCCATTATCATAACTATTGGTAAACATCTGAAGACAAAATTACCTAACAGAATGGGAAGAATGTAACCAGCCAGTAGTTTGATAATGTGGTTGTGAGTTTGTGGAGGCCAGATGGAAAGTGTCATTGCTAAACCCATCGGCATTGCATTGAGGTCTTCCTTCTTTAGGAAAGGAACCAATGATGCCATGATGGACAACACACTGTCTGCAAAAGCTGATGAAGGAGGAAAAGAAAACCATTGAGCTACTAATGTGAGTATTACTAAATGGTCTTAACCCCTGACTAACAGTTGGTTAAGTGGTCTGATTGACAGAGCAATCCTAAATTGGACCACCATCAATGGTAGTGAGTAACATCTGGTGAGCCTAGTTTGCAAAAACTAATCAGTCAATGAGGTTATTAGCTGCATGACTAACCTCTTGAGTCTTACAGCCAATAAAATCAAATAATGACTGACCAATCAGATTTTTCTCACCAGACTTATAAAACTTGACTAATACACAACTCCTAACTTGAATCTGATGGTGACTTTGGGTCAGGTTGTCCCATTGTTACTTACTGTTGTCCACAAAAGTTTTTATTCAGGACTGCTCCCTACTGCACAGTCACACCAAAAGTTCATTTCTTATCACTGTATGGCTCAAATAAACTAGGCCAAGATTTTCAAATGAAAACTAAGGGGATTAACCAATTACTTTCTTTTGGATTCATCATTTTTTTTCTGTGAGAACTTACTGTATAAATTACCTTTTAAAATGATCAGACAAACTGAAAGATTAGGGTCATATATACCTCACACTTTTTTGGCTAAAACACAAATTATCCACTTTGTCTAAACACGTACCTTCAACTCCAATCTCTACCACTGGAACAACATTCACAATTTTTTCCAGAGCTTTGTAAAGTCCTGTGTAGTCCATACTGGGGTATTGATGACGATCAAATGAACGCTTATCTTCTGTCAATATAGGGCGGGTCTCTTTCACCAAACTGAAGACAAACAGTTGAAATATTTACATTGTCTTTCTGTTACTAAAATAAATTTAAGTCGTATATTCCCAATCTAGCATTTCCTTGATTATGACAATTTTTAAACGATAATACAACGTGGTGATACCTTTGCAAAGTTTGCTGAAACCATTTAAGGACGTTGGCAACATCATTTCCTGTGGGTAATGGATATGTTCTTCTGTCCAATCTGTTGAATATTTCTTTCAGGCCATGGACCTTGGCATTGACTGTGGACAGAGGTTAAACATAACTACCAGAGCAGAAGTGGCAACATAACAAATATTCAAGGTTTCTTTGTGGAAGGTGCCTAACACAAACATTCCTCATATTTAAACTCAAATTTCTGCTGGCACCATTATTTTTCCAAAGGTTAACAGCATGATGAGGAAGGCACGCAGGCTCATTTTTGCAATTTGCTCAACAGCTATTATCTGCTGAACAGGATGATCAAGTGTAGTGCAACACCACAAACATCCAACACACTGTAAATAAAATAATCTAAATTTTCCTCCCTGAGACTGGATGCTGTAGTTTAATATAATCTCGATTCAAATTAAAATAATCGCGTTTTTCTGTTATTGAGGATTATGATAACGTATGTGGAACAAAGGGAAACACTACACATGCTAGGATGGAATCACTATGACCTGAAATTCATTTTAAATACTACAACATGTAAATTATGCAGGATAGACACTAAATTGTCAGCTTTAAAATAAATATTTCAAACTGGATCTATGTTTGGAGCTGGATGAACGATTCTGTAAAAGTAAAAATTTCACATGCTTTGCCCTTGACTATACAGCGGTCAATATATGATCATGAGGAAACCACGAAACAGACCATATACATAGAGTAACATAAATGCGACATAATAAGCAGATATTCTTTGCATAATTATGCTTTGACGGTAACATCAGTGGCAGTGTTCCTGACACAAATGAGCAACCAGTTAAAAACAATCGGCACAAATGCCATTTAGCACTGCACAACCTTGGTATTTAGCTGATTTATAAACGATACTAACACTGGTCAGCTCTTGTTGACTTAATATGCCTAGACATTATCGTGCCTCCTTGTTCCGCGGATTGTGATGATCAAGAAGAGCTGAAGATAGAAACAGCTGTTAGACCTCTCATATATATGCCGCCATCGCATAGAGGTCGAATGACAAGAGATCATGGTTAATCATGTTCACAGATGAGGTCTTTGACGAAGTAATTTTGAGCCGTGTCTTTGATTCCCATTGAACATAAAAAACCGGCTCTTGTAGCAACTCTATGAAGGACAATCGCGCTACATACGAGCACAGAAGCACAGGATATAAATTTACATAATGTTCCAAACAATTCTTTACTTTCACCTGATAACGATATGGCTGTTATGTAAATAACAGCGAAAAGTCTGCTTAAGAACACTGGCAAAACATCGCCCAAAACAGCTTTTCTATCTTTTTTAAATGGAAAAAAATTATCACTTCTTAAACAATTTGTTTATTTGGTGTATTCATGTCTGATCAAATCCAGCTTTTACGCCAATTTGCTTACTCGTACTCTGAATAGGACATTATGTGTACCGTACTCGCTATTAACCGAGTAGGAAACTAGTAGCGAATATTTGGCGCGAAAAGTAAAGTGCTGCAGTTTGGCCGTCTTCAAGATATTTTTTACCAAAAGAACTTCTGAAATTCTTATTCCCCGAAGAGAAGTATCTTCTTTTACAATGGTTGAGACGTTGTTTTCTCTAGAGGTACATGTAGAAAGTGTGGAAGATCTTCAAATAGCATGTAAGTTACCAGCATTGTGCTTTCGTTTGTTGGATTTCCCAACGATGATAATACATCATGTTTCTCCTGTCGACGCCGAGAAATTACGACATAGAATTCGCATGGAAGGCAAAGATTCTGTACTTCATGCTCTAAAAGATCGCTTTGGAAATTTCCAGTTTCGTAAAGGTAAATCTTGCTTATTCAAAGCAAGCATAGACACTCTCCTGGTTCAACTACAAACTGTTCCTTTATATTCAATGTTGATGGATTTGTGGCCGAAAAAGCCCCTACTTGTCGGAAGCTCGTTGATTCCTTTAAAGAAGGCGATAAATAAGATCTCTACCGATGTTTACAAGAATGGCGTGGCTGTTCCCTCTTTTTACAGAGATGAGGGTGATTTTAATGTTTACAATCTCATGGGAAGTTCCATAGCGAACGTAAAACTTGGTTTTAGGTTATTGAGTTTGGGAGGGTCACTGATCCCTCACATTCCAACAGAAGCCTTGGGTGAGAGGATTACTGAAAAGATTGAAACGAACGGAGAAGTTGAGGAAGCTTTAAAGGGAGCTTTGGAAAAAGTATTGCCTGAAATTGAATTAGACGATGAAATTACTGAAAACGGATTCGATACAAAGAGCGAACGTGATGCGAGAACTGTTAAGAAACCAGATGATAGGCAGAGTGTGGAAGTTCAAACAAATCTTCCTGTAAAAACTCTCAAAACTTCTAGAACCGTTGATAGAGGGAGAAAGACAAGCGAGGAAGATGTAGTGATCACCAATACAGTTTGCCCTCCCCCTCTTTATTATAATTATTATTCTAATTCCACACCTTCTGGAAGGTTTCACTCAGAGGCTGATGGCAAAGGGATACAACAAAGTTCTTCATTTCATGTAGATCCAAGACACATACAAGCTGTTGATCAAGGTGACATTGCTGATGTGGACTTTTTGTATTATGATCCTGGTATGGTTCAAACAGATGGAACTGCCAATGTTACATCAGTTTCAGTACAAACTGATGATAAATTATTAAAACCACCCTTTGGACAACAGGGTGATACTGTGCAATCTGAATTCAATCCATATAATCTACAAGGTGTTATGTCCGAAAGTCATTTGCCAATTTTAAATGCATTGCTTCAAGAACTTTCTTGTTTGACAAGAGTAGGTGAAACTCATCCCAGTTCATTAAGTGTGCAATCTCCAAGAATTCTGCCAACTGTTCATAGCAAAAGAGGTCCTTCTGGTCGTAAAGGATCACAGAGCGTTCCCAAAGATGAAACATACAGAAAACAAAATGTTCAAGCAGCATCTCTGAAAAAGTCTCAAACATCAGTTATTGGTTTGCCAAGACAAAGAGTACGTTTCAAGCAGACAAGTCTCACTTATGGAATGACTAAAACTCAAAAAATGAGACTAGAGATGAATCAAAAGGGGAAATTACCAAACAGAACTAAACCTTGTGAAGAACACAGGGCTTTAACTGAAAAAGATAAGATCAAAAGAGAGCATGAGAAGATGCCTTTGCCAACAAGCAATTTAGGACAGACATATAAAATAGGCATAGCAAAAAAGCAGACAAAGAGAGATGCAAAGCATACAGCAGATGCACAGGTCCAAACGCAACAGTCATCCACTGAAGTACCACATAATGAAAAAAGTGGGATTCCTGTAACCACATGGGTGGTGAAAGAGAGCTCTGCATTAATTAATACTGAGCCACCTCTTCCCAATACTGACAGTGCAAGGAGCGTTAAGAGTCAAAATAGTCTGGAAATTTTCATCCCTCAGGTTGAAGGTATGTAAACTAAATGTAACAGAGATTACAAACTACTATTTTTCTGAGGCAGCCTTTGGGTAAGTCTCTAACATACTCAAATACATTAGAGAGAAGATCAACATGAGCACGACAGACAGTTATTTTGTTTGGCAAAGTCAAACTTAATATTTGGGAGACAAGACAAAACATGTTTCTACAGTGCCTTTCTATAAATTAACCCTTTACACTGACAACAGTATCCATATTCTCCATACTGTTCTCTATTCATTTCCTAAGGTGCTGACAAGGAGAATTTGTTTAACAATCAAGAGCTTCTTTAGTTGGTGATCATTTCCTTTATTCTTGTGACCCTCATGGGTGATTCAGGGGAGACATTTTAAGAAGAAATTAGATGCTGGTTACTCTTTGGAGTCAAAGTGAGTGACTCCATTTCAATTATAGCTGCCCAGCATTATTTTTTATTCTGTTTCAGCCACTGATAACATTATTTTGATTTCAGGAGAACCAGAAGAGAGAAGTGATCAGGAAAAGGAATGGACCACTGATCAGGCTACAGCTGGCTTTTACGGTAACACAGGGATCTTAGGTGCAGAGCTGGATGGTGTGCAAGGAAGCTCTGCCATGACCATGTACACAGAGGACTTTCAAGATTCTGGAACAGAGGGGTCGCATGCATCATACCACTTAGCTTTCACAAAGAGTAGCAGTGTTGAAGATGAAAATCTGAGGCAGAGATCAAATTCTGACATTTCATCTGCCAGTCAAATGTCTCAAGGTATTTCTGCAGCATCAGGAAAACCAGTCCTGTCATCTCATTCTCCAGTGAAAGCAAAATCCACGAGGATACAAGGGAGGAGGGAGGGGGAAGCTGCAGTGGATGTGAAACAGAAAGTGACAACATCAGAACAAGATTCTGTGGCTCAGATATCTAACCTAACCAAAAGTTCTTCTAGTTCATCCAAAAATTCTGATGAAAGAAGTGAAGCAAGTTATTCTGATGACTTCCACTCTGTTGGCTCAGAACCTGAAAAACAGAACTCCCAATCTTTATCTGATGATAGTATTGATGACAACTCTCAGCACACAAAGCTTAATCTTCCGCCTCCTGCAAGTAATCTGGGATATACTTATTAATCATGTCAACTGTCTTTGATCATTGCAACTGATAACCCTTTTACTCCAAAGATTAAGTCATGTCTCCTTTGTATGTATGCAGTTTGGCAACAAGTATTAATTTCTAATACTTAAAATAACTTAAAAGCTCTACCCCTTGGACTTTTAGCTCAAACATAAGACTAGGTTAGGAATGCCATGCTCCAAGCTGCAACTCCTTTGGCTATCAGGTGACTGAGTTAAAGAAAAGTTTGGTTACTAAATTGGCAAAGAAAAACAGATTTTTGACTTGTGTTTGGTGATCTTTTCACAATGCATTAATATTGTTTTTTATTTTTTTATTTTTTCACACTTGCTGAGAGAAGTGTGTAAGAGTGAGGTGTTAGCAGGATAAAGTAGGGTAGTCACATTGATAATCACCATTTTACTCAGTGTTTCTGGGTGTTTCTTGACAATTTCCCACAAGTTTTATCCTACCCCTATGATTTTAACTTTGGTGACCTCTCAATGGTTTTAGGGTTGCCAGTTTAAAAGATTTTAGCTTGGAGCCCTTGGTGCATGGGGGAATGTTTTGTCATGGGAGGCATTCCCAAAAGGCAATAAGTTTTAGAAAAAGATTGATTTGAAAGGGGAATCTCAATAAGGGAAGGGACAGGTTCAGGTCAGAAACTCTTCTTGTTGGGAGGAACGAGTGAGAGTTACACAAACAACATATTTGACCTGATATTTGCTTGAACAACTTTATTTTGAGGTCTATGAGAAGTTGTGACAAGTATGACTGAACATTGTCAGTTATGTGTATTTATTTAACAATAGAACTCTTTTACTGATTTTACAGGAGTAATAATAATCTCATGATTGTGTGGATATGATGCTGTGGTTGGAACAATAATGCACATCCCCACTATCCAACTTTTGTAAAAAAATTAAGTTCAAGACAGCACAGCCCTCAAAGAAAAATAAAACACTCCATCAAGTCTAGACTGTTCATGTTTAAGTTAGGAAAGGTTAACAAGGAAAAAGACAGTATTACTTAATACCTTGTAACAAAGTCTCTATTTACAGTGAATTTCCATCTCAATGGGTTCCAAGTTCCAAACTCACTTTCAAATTTAGGCTGAGTGCACAAACTTTCTTATAAAAGTGAGTTTTAATAGTATGTCAACAAGAATCATTTTTAATTTTTTTTAGTGGTCTCTATTGAACTTAAACAAACAAACAGAAGCCATATTGTCTATTTCCAGCTTCATCTAATGTGGTAACAGAAAAGGCAATTACCAAGGATAAAACTGATGTCCATTGAAGAATAAAGACAGTCTCCATGTACATCTTACTTTTTAAAGTTACTAGTAATTGACAGAGACTGAACCATGTAAACCTCTTCATGTGAATTCTAAACTCTCTCTAACTTGTGTTCCTGAGCATTATTCAAATGAGTCACTGAGCAATTTCAACCCTTTGCGAAACTGTGCTCCAACAAAGTATATTTCAGGTCACATGCTCCAGCCTCTTGATCTTTGATCTTCAATAATGTGGTCTTTTCACATGTTACCTGCTAACAGAGATGTTTTGTGATCCATATGACTCTGCTGACAAGGTGATATGTTTGTATGTTTTACCATCAAAAAATTAAAGAAATAATTAATACACTTAATTAATAAGTAAGCAGAAATCTCTCTCTACAAGCTCATGAAGAATCCAAGAAAGTTATAAAAAATTCTCATAAATAGGGAGCACCACAGCCTAATAGTTAGTGCAGAAGACTTTGAATCAAGAGTATGGAGTCTAAGTCCTAGTGCCATCCTTATGTTTGAGATCTTAGACATGACACTTTGCTGTCACAGTACCCCTCTCCAACCACAATAGTTATGGCAAACTGTTGGGAAGACTTCAGGAACTGCCTGGAATGCTTGCAATGATCTGGAACTCCATTCAGTAAGAGTGGCAAGACTCCTACATGCCCCATGTTATGGAGACTGGGTTGAGTCCACTTCAGCATATTTCTTCTCACTCTGAGCTCAGTTTGTTTAATTTGTGGTAAAATTTACACCCTAGTAATGGTTTCTAAAGAGAATAGAAACTCCTTTGTCAACTCAACACTATTGGTGAGGTAGCTGTCCTTTCCGTGGTATGTGCTTTGTCAAGTAAGTCATGTACATACTTTGCAAAGTCAACAGGAAATGATGGTGCTCCTTCATATCCTAACAATAAGATAAAAGGATCTCTCAGGAAGCAAAATTAACAATAAATTGTTTACAAGAACTATGGCCCCAACTACTCTGAATGTACAATGTGGTAAATTGTAACAAAAACACAGACTCACCTGGAAAGTAATTGATATCGATAACAACATGGTGCCCTGTGCCTTTCTCCACAACAATGTCAATGCCAAACATTGTTAAATTCTGTTTAAAGAAAATAGACCACATTTTCATTAAATTTTTCCTGGAAAGACACAAAATCACTGACTTCACTTTATAAGTTGAAATCAGCAAAATCATATGATATAATCAATTCTGCCAAGTTAACCAGGATGCACAACTGTCTATACATGTGCCTTTTTTCAAAGAAACTGCCAATACAAGAAAGAGGTTTCAATCCTGGTGAAGAAATTTAGCTCAAGGGTTTCAACCAGGGTTGATACATGAACCTAAAAATAATAATAACAATAATAATAATAATAACAGTAATAATAACAATAATAATACTAATGATAATAATAATAACAACAACAACAATAATAATAATGATAATAATAATAATAACAATAATAATAATAATAATAATAACAATATAGTTAAGAGAGAAAACTGATGTAAGGCTGGATAACAGGGGCAAACAACAAAAAACAGTGACAACACCAAAAATATTTATTTTTGTGATCTCGACTCATTTTTATGGTTGGACTCTCTCGAGGATGGCTGGTGCTAGCCTAGGTGATCCAGTAAAAGAAACAAAACCCCAACAAAATATCTTCACAAGCTCAGTTTTCAGTTCAAGGCACATTCTCTCCTCACTTGTGGGAATTATAAATTAATGAAGCTGGGTGAACTTGTGTTTTAACTTGCAGAAGCCTTATCCCACTCAGCAAAAATCCTTCACAAGTTTACAAGAAGGGAAGTATGAGACAACAAGCTTGGTTGCTGGTAATTTGGCATTCCCCCATAAAGCTATATCTGTGACTGTGATAAGAACACTTACCAATTTTGGTTGAAGTTTTCTGACAAGTTTTAAAACTAAGTTTTCATCCAGCCCTATACTGTTTGTGCTATCACTATCATCATTGTCAAGCTGTACATGAACATTCAACATGAAAAACAAAGAGATTCAGTTTGCCAGTGAAATAAATACTGCAGCAATGATTATACAATACTACAACCTGGGTTAGTACAATTATGCTTCACAGATGATTTTTCAGCATCAGTTGCTTTGTTAAGTTGGGGTATTCAGTTGGTCTTGTTGCTTATTTCAATGTCATGGACAAGTCATCAGTGCCAGTAATCACTGATTTGTGTTAAGAGGAGTATGTTCTAAGTTAGTGAACCTATTTTCAATTTTCAGTAACTGAAAAAAATTATAGCGACCCATAGATGAGGCCTAAAGTAGAGTCCCAGTCAATATAGAAATTTTTGGGAGTAACAAGTATTGTTGTCTGATTGTCACAGGGCTCATATCAGAATTTTTAAGACATATTACATAAGACATGCCCAGTATTGCATCTACACTGTACAGCTGTACCTCACTAAGATAAGATCCTGAGTCAGGTTTGGAAACATCATGTGATGAAAAGAATATTGTTTTCATCTCTTTTGCTGATGAAAGAAAAAACAGACATTGTTGTCATTTGTTGAAAGCTCAAAAACTAGTTCCTTGTCTGCATTACAGTTACTTCAATCAACCACTGTATTCTATTTTAGTCAGCACTTCAAAGTGAAATTTTAAGATAACTGGAGACAATTTTGAATCAATTAATTTCCTTTACTGAATAATTCTGAAGGACAGACTTAAATCAATCTTCTCTGATTAAAAACATTCATGTTTTGTCTCTCATTGAAGTATTTTTAATCAAAACACAACATAATGAAAAATTTAAGTGATAAAATGTTTTCAATTGATTTCTTGGGAGGTTGTAATAAGATCAGTTAACAGTGCAGTTATAGATTTTTAACCCTTTAACCTCTAAGAGTGACTAGCATCTAATTTTTCCTTACAATATCATCCCTGAATCAAACATGAAAATCATGAAAATTGAGGAGATGATCACCAACTAAAAGAGCTCTTGATTGTGAAACAAATTCTCCTTGTCAGCCTCTTTGGAAATGTATGGAGAACAGAATGGATAATTTGCATATTGATGTGAGGGTGTAGAAGATTACGACATTTCTAAAATTTATAGCAGAGCTCACAGAGTGTAGCCCCATAGTTATACAAAATAGTAGTAACCCATTGAGCCGAAAAAATTTGGACGTACAATCATACGACCAACCGTACAAAGTGCTACTTTTAGCATGCGTAGCCAACTGTATCAACTGTATAATCAGTCCTCTACACAGACACAGAGAAGTTGCAAATGAAAATCCATTAATATTACCATGGACTTTATCCATAGTAGGGGCTTTAGTTTTGTTCAAGAGACATGTGGGAAAAAAAAAAAAAGTGAGCTCCGCTTTTAGGCTTGCCTAAATCTATATATTACTCTACAATCAAGAATGCTCTGCATATCCCAAATACAAGGCAGCTAAACACAATTCATCTAACTTACTTGTAGTCTTGTAAAAATTCTTGATTGATGGTCTCTCTACGATGTAATGCTTATCTCCTGCCACAAATACCTGTTAATGGGGCATATAATTAGATAATTACCAAGGGGACAGGGGGACAAAAAGACTTTTTGTGATTGAATGAAAGGCAACACAGATGAAAATATCTTGATCTCCTAAGAAATGAAGTAAAAATAATCTCACATCGTCAGTCTCCTTTGACTGCCTCATATAAATTGACACAGCACTGGAGAGCATTGCTTAAGTTTTTCCTTGCCTTATGAAATTCAGTTGCATACATTACAACTTACTAACCTTAAATAAAACAGCATCATGATTTACAAATTGTTGAACAACACATGGAGCCTGTGTCAGGTCCTGCAGTCCTTCCTCATTAAAGATTAATGCCATCTGAAATGCAAGACAAAGATGATTGCAGTTAACAATAACTTTCTCTACAGTTGGTAAAAAGTTGACAAACACAATTTCCTGTCCATCCATATACATCAATAACTAAATTCCTTCATTGTCTGGTAAACATTTACCTCATGACACAATTCTGATCCATGACCAATGACAGTTTTACAAACTGAAATGTAATGTATAACACCGCAAAAAATGATATTTAGTATATTGGCATTGCAATTTTCATAGGATACAGTTAAAAAAAAAAATTGTGTACAAAGTTAAAATTTGTATTTATAGCCTCAAGCTACAACAGTGATCTATGCTACATAAGAAAAAATATAATGATTTTACATCAAAACTTTTGGTTTTCTATTTCCTATTTATTCATGGCACTTATATATTATGTATTAACTCAAAAGTTGGGTGACCAAAAGTATCCTCAAATAGTGCACTCTGAACTGAACTAAATAATAAATTAAATGCATTTAAATCCAATTAATTAAAGCAGAGATCTAGGTACTTACTCATTGGAAACATAACACCAGCATTTTCAATTCTCATCAAATTCTGTTTATAGTCAAGCTCATCAAATTGCACAAAGTTAGGAACAAAGACTTTAACTCCTATCAATGAGAAGATGAATATTTATTTAATAATTGACTTTTGACAACAATATATGGTTTGATCATATATACTCAGTGCAAAGTGAAATCAAAACTTCACACAAACCTTCCTCCAGGATTTCACACTCTTTCATGATCTGATAACTTTTTGTTCTGTCAAATAACTTGTGGATTGATTCCATTGGATCAATGATGATGATTTCTGGGTGATCTTTAATATACATCTAAAAAAGAACATTTCACAACAGTTTCCTAAATGGAAAGATGTTTTTTATTTTGTCATGAGCATAGGAGCATGTTTTTTTTATTTTCACTGGGTCAAAAGCCCAGTGTTATGGTGAGTGTGCTGGACTCCCAGTCAAGAGGACTAGGTTTGAGGCCTGGTTAGGGCTTTGTGTTGTGCCCTCAGGAAAAACACTGGTACCTTACTTTTATTTAAAGTGCCTCTCTCACCCAGGAGTATAAATGGGTGCCAGCCTGATAAAAGACTAGCAAGTAGCCTTGCAATGAACTGGCAACCCATCCAGGGGAGAGTAGTGATACTACAAAATTTCTTCAAGATACACAAATCAGGATAAGCTCTGGCTGGATATGCCACCTACTCAAGTACAGACTTAACTCTTTAACTCCCATGAGTGAGCCAGACATAATTTCTCCTTACAATATCAATACAATATCAAGCAGACAAGTGATGAGAATAAAAAAAAGTCTTAATAGGGGGATTATTAGTTGATTTAATACCAGATTCCTCAAACTATCATCAAAAGAACTATACGGCAGACAGTAAGGAGAATTACTAATGAGATCTTGGGAGTTAAAGGATTAACCTTCACCTAACGTTAGCCTCAGTGATCTTTCACTACTGATTAAAAGTCAGTTCTATTGCAAGTAAAAAAAGACTGGCCTTGGCAATTGAAGCACACTTGAATTGAGAGACAAAATTATGAAGTAATACAGGCTGCTTGATAAAGAAAGTGTGAAATACATTACCTCTACTCCTTTTAATGTTTTAATAGCTTCTTCATCGCCCTCAGTAGCGGCTGCCATGTAATCTGTTATCTTCTGGATGATCAGGTCAAAGGGACCTTGTTCTTCTAGTGGTCTGTCCAAGTCCACCTGATCAAAATAAATTTTGCCTTGTGAATAACTAGACTTGCTATTTTCTAGTGCTATTTGATGAGTATAGTTTTAGCAATGGGTTTTTCACAATATTAACCCTTTACACTTTAACATGCATATTCTCTATGCTGTTCTCTATACATGAACTTAGTTAAAGATAAGGAGAATTTGTGTAACAATCAAGAGCTTCTGACAATTGGTGATCATTTCTTTTATTCTCATGACCTGAATGTTTGATTCAGGGGTCATATTCTAAGGAGAAATTAGATGCTAGTCACTCTTTGTTGTCAAAGGGTTAACTCTTTGTCCATTCTCATCAGTTCAAATTGAAATCTGGTATGTTGCTTTTTCAAGGAGGGTTGAATGGAGAAATACTGTAACAAAAAGACAGCCCAGGGCAAAGGAAACAACTGATGCCAGGTCTGGTAAATGAACATAAGCCACAGTACCAAGACATACATTCTCTTGCTACTGTTACATCCACGCACCCTTGCTAGTTATCAGAAATAGAAACACTTGTCATCATCTGTGTGAAAACTCGCAAAGACAACAAGGATAACAGCCAACAAAGAACCTGTGCAGGAATTTAAATCTACTGCCATGCTCCCTTACATAAAGGGTGCATCTGAGGTTCTTTGCCACTGCCTACAGCATCAAGGCATATGGACCGTTTTCAAGTCTGGCACAACACTTGGGTCTCACTTAGTACAACCTAAAGACGCCCTGAAACCATCAAAACAAGACGGTGTTCTTTACAAGATCCCATGTAAATGGGGCTAAGTGTATATCAGCAAAACTGGGAGAATTTATTGATTGTGACCCCCACTGGTACATGCATAGGGTCAAAGAGGCTATCCATATAGGACTTCACCCTAAAAATATCAACAGGGATAGTGGAATCAAAATTCCCTAAGCTTGGAAACCCACAATCAAACGAAACAACAGCCAATCAATGAGGACCAATGAGGGAACACCATCTAGCAATCAGAATAATAACAAGGATCAAAATGCACCAATAGCAGCAAACCGACATGCTACAAATAGAGACACATAAAGAATCAACCTCATTGCCTGATGAAAACTAGCAGTATTGCAGTCGAAACATTGCGATCAACATCCAAAGTGACTCCATTGTGAGACATATGCATAAAGTTCATCTCCTAACTGATAAGAAGTATAACCATTGAAGTGAGGACAAATTTATTTGTCATCTAATAAAAATCATTGAACCAAATGATCTCTACATTTCCCCTACGTCAATTTGATAAGCAATGCCATTTTGTACGTGACCTATGAGTTTTCAATACAAGAGGAACATGATAAGAGACTTTCACCTTCATGTATAAATCATGCTTTTACTTTTCCCTTTCATAATTCAATATCAATTATGATGATAAAACAAACCATTCGCAAATGATCGAAACTTTGGTCGATCTGTTGGAAAGATGCTCTAAAATTTATTATTTACGGGAAATTTCGTTGATGATTCAAGACGAGAGAGGGCGGAGTAGTTTTCGACTGATATATTTCCTAAGTCTTTTAGTTTCAAACACGCGAGGAACAGCGAAAACCGCATAACGTGAATAAGTTTCCCTAAATACGGATAAGAAAGATAAGTTTCCGGAAAGGCTGGACTGCAAATAGTGCTCGTAGCAATTTCAAATGGCAAAACAGATGGGGACGTGATCGCCTTTTTTATTTTCAATTAAGTGTACATGTGATTCATGATTTTCCTCAATTTAATTTGTTTGATCCACCGCGTAAATTAAAAAGTGCGTCAATTCCCTATTACAACCAAGATGAAAGGACGAAAAACAGTTTTCTTCGTAATTGAAGAACAATTTCTCCTGATCAAGTTAAATTAGTTTTATTGTTATCCTTGACTGCGTACGTCTGATCTGAGCTAACATGAGCCTTCTTACCTCAACCAGATCGATACCAGTTTTCCTACAAAAGTGTGAAAAAAATGAAATTATATAAAAAAATATACCATGTGTACCTGAAGTAATTTTGAACAACATCGATGCCTGCATAAAACAAGATAAATGGCTGGTTTGGCAACAAACTCACCCACACAACTGCATGAAGGTGTCGAAAATACTCTTACGCATCTTTCTTTGACTGACCAAAAACCCGACTCGTTTTCGCTTGAGAAGCCCGTTACTGTTCCTAAACATCGTATATGAATTCTCCACTCAACCACTCAAAGTAATCTCCAAAATTACCGTTAGGAATATCATTTTTGAGAGAATTTCAACAGCATGTTATATTCCAACCCTTGCGCCTCATAATATTCCGCTCCCATGCTGATGAGTGACTGCTAGTACTGTAATCAGCGGTCAAACAAACAAATACTACCCAGGCTTTTCGTCGTTTCCAAAATGGCTTCTCGAGTGATTCTTTCGCATGCAAAGTTTCTGGGTTATGTCGCTTTTAATGAACTGAATTTCGTTCGTTCGTCAGTTTCTTTCGGCTATCGTTGCGTAAGAAATGCCAGTTATGTTAATTTTTCAAAAAAATTGACAAGAAATAACGACTCAAGGGAAATAACTGCATCAACAAGTTTGGTACAAAATGGTGTCAGAAGTTTCAGTTTACAACATTGGCATGGTGAGTCGGGGACGTATAATGATTAATTCTAACACAGTCATAAAGAGAAAAAATAACGGTCGAAAAAATTGGCACGTGGTTTGAATCAGTGAGAGTTCGGCGAGAATCAAAAATGGCAGTTGTGTGTGCTGATAGTTGAACTATATGTTATTTATGCACCCTCAGAATCAAGCTGAAAAACAAATGCCTTTTGAACCTGCCATCAGAATTAGTTACTTTTTTTTTTTTTTTATCATCTTTTTTTTATCATCTTGGATCTCACGCTTCTTTGCTGAATGCATTTTTTCTTTTTTTTGGAGACAGCTGTCCTTTTACAATCAGAATATTCACAGATAGCACAAAGATTTAGTCAATAAGTGCAGTGTTGATTAACTAGCTCTAATTGTTGTGCTGAACTATTAAATAATTAGTTTTCTACTTATTGTTTCAGGTATAAGAGCATCCAAACTCACAGTGGATAATATCAAGGATTATGATGAAAACATTGGATGCCCAATCTGCAGAAGAAACATTACCTTCACTTATAAAGTACTCTGAATTTTGTTACACAGGCAGGGCTAATGCTTGAAATGTCAGTTTTGAAACTCTTAATGGTGGCCAATTTGCATTATCAACTCAGTTGATAAAACAAAAATTATTTTGCTACATATATAACCAGTTTGAATACTTTATTTATTTGATAAAGTGTCTAACCCTAAATAAGTGCTCACCTCATAGGTAGGAAAAGTTAATAGGTGCCCAGCCTCAAATAAGCACCTCCTTACCCCCATTATTAAATGTTTTGTTGCAAAGCAAACTTATTACTTGCTGAAAATCGTGAAAACTGAGTTAGTGCCCACCTTGATTAACTGCACTCTCTTGAGGTCCAAAATTTAATAAGTGCTCAGGGTGCTCAATTGAATAAATACAGCATATCCAATTTTGATCTAAGACCTAATTTATAACAAACATCCATTCTATTTCTTTTTTTTTATGGCTGTAGATGAAAGGCAAAATAATGTTGAATGTAAAGGATCAGCAAAAATTTGAAGTTTTAAGCTGCAAACTGTATTATAACAATGACTTCAATTTAATTCATTTTGTTACCTCCATAGGATGTATTATTCTTATCACAGTTCATGTCTCCAAAAGGTTACATCCTTAATCGAAGAGTGACAGGTAAGTTACTATTGATACAAATTTGGTAAATCAACTGAATAAAAAAGTTATCTTTCAAAAGATATTTTTTTCTTCAACTGGTTTTATAAGTTTTGTAAACAAAATGTATTAACCAGAGTCAATGTTGTTATTGATTTCTTTTGCTTGGAATGGTTCTCATTTGCTTTTGTTGTCTGTCTAATCTGTACTTCTTTTAGTCTAAGCCTTACAATCATCAATTAATTTATTAATAAGTAAATATATAATGTTACAAATACTGTTTTTCTCCAAAAGGTGTTTGCTCAAAGCAGCAGAGGAAATTAGAGAAAGCTATCAGAATATCACAAAGGCTTGGTGAGAATATTCTTCATTATAAAATTTTTCACTCCAGATATTGAATTTCTAGTGTTCTGATTGGTTCACTCAACTCTGGTTATCAGCTCATACATGGAATCACCTTAAACAGAAACAAATTCACCCACGTTTCTAAATTTTAGTGTTAGAACAAATTCATTAAGCTCCCATAGCATTAATGTAAGGTGCAGAATTAAATAAAACAATTATTCCATCTGTGCATTGTTGGATACAAGATGGGTTATAGCCAACTTAGTGCTATGCACCTCGTTGGATATTTACATTTTTATATCCAACATGTGCTCATGGAATAATTGCTAAATGTTGTTGAGATCGTCCCAAACACAGGCAATTGATAACAATTTTGTATGCTCCAATGTAAATCCTATAGCCAAATATATCTTGCACCAAAAATCCTGGAATTAGCACCAACCTGTAAATCAGCACCCCTATTCAAAACACACCTCCCTTCAAGAACTTGTACTTCCCTATTCCTATTTTCACTGAAAATAATGTTTAAACTAGATAAGTGCTTATTTGTACTGTTATACTTACCAATTTAGAACATAATTTTTCATTAAGTTTGGAAAAACAGCTACTGGTGCAAATACCCTGTGTTGGGTATTTAAAACATTACGATCAGCTTGGTATATGATGATTCATTAACAGCGGATATTGCATGTTGTACACTCTACAGAAAAAATATGGGTAAACATTTTGGAAAAAAGTCATTAGATAAATGACTTAACTGAATTGAGTGTCCCCATGAATAATTGGCCTCTCCCCTGAATTTGAAATGAGAATCCTCTTAGTGCTAATCTAAGGGTTAATTTTATAGAACCCTGGCTGTAAAATTGCTTTCAAATACAGATTTTATGAACTCCTTTCAAGGAAGACAACGTTTTTATGTGTAACTTGCATTTCAAATGATTTAAGGTAATGTTTATTATCAAATGATGATTTTAAAATAACAGCATGAAACATGTTTTATTTGCAGGGGTTCTTCCTAAACTGTCACCAATACTGATAAGAGAGCTGGAAAGCCAGAAGCAGGCTCAGGAATAAAGTCACGAGTCAATCACAAACTTGAGTCACTGGTCACTTTGGGATCAGCATCCAGCTGAATACGATGTCTTATCAGAATCATGTTTTTCACAATTGACAAGCCCAGTCTTACTCTAGTGGTAAAAGAGTCCTCAGTCCTCAGAAAGACCTGCTGCCCAATTTTTTTGCCTCATGGAAATATTCTCCAAGAAAAAATGGAAGCAGAATACTATGTTTACTATGTCTTTGAAATGACAACAAACTCATTTATAAGCAGTGATTTCATCACTCTTTGCAAACAATACAAGCATAATAATATGTTTATTTGGTAAAATGTCATTCAAATAACAACAAATTCATTTTAATTTTTTTGTATGGGTTCTGCATGACTGAAATACCTGACAAGCTTTTAGATGACTCAAATAAAAATGATAGCACAACATTAAAAGATGCTTTCTTCTTTCTTCGCCTCAATGAGTACAAAAAATATTTATTGGTTTAAAAAAAAACAGAGTGTTGATAAATGCAATAATATTAAAACTGCGCTCAAGTTGTTCTTACTATTTGTGTGTAAATATCGTTAAATACACTATAATACATAAAACTTGTGCATGAAGTTGTCCCTTCACAGCATAAAAGGAAGATCCAGATTTTTGGTGCCAACACCAACATACACTGATCCATACTTTCGTGTGCCTGGTACATGATAGAAAGCAAAGCCTAACCAGTGTAGGCTGTGCAGGGTAACCAAGCCACTCTCACGCTCAAACTGGATACTCCATGAGCCTGGAGAGGACACCAACCAACAGTACTAAATATTATTAAATATTAAATAGAGAAGGCAAATAATTCTTGTCATTTTTAAAGTAAGAGGTTCAGAGAAAGTTGTGTATATCCAGAAGGTCTTTCTTTCCTAAACAAACATACAGGACCATGTGTAACATGTTGATAATTTTAAAAGTCAACAAAAATAGATAATAGTTGATTGATTTTGATAACAATCAATCAGCTAATTTGGAACAGCCATTAGAAGATCCCAAAAATTAAAAGCCAGGATTACTCCAGAAGTAAGATTTGCCTTCCTTTGGTACATCAGTATCAATTGGATCAAGGAAGTCAATAGCTTTATCCAATTCAGCCTACAAGAAAATAAATCAACTTCACTTTAATAGACAGGTGGATTATTGAAGAAACTAATGGTATCAATGTTTGAATAATCAACGTCTGATCTTTTTTTTTCTTCATTGTCATTGAAAGGAAACACTGCAGCAAGAGTGAAAGTTGGTGATTATCATTACTATGGATTTGGAACAGATATTGACTATGAAACAGCAGCAATCCACTACAGTTGCTTCTGAACAGCAACATAGTGCATAAGTAATGTTTAATCTGGGCTACATGCACAAGAGAGGACTGGGTATGAGACAGGTAAAGCAACGTTATTTCTGATGGAACACTTAAAGTGACATGAAAATTGAATGTTGGTCATGGAAGGTTGTAGAGAATGATTCTTCCCAGAGCAGAAGAGCAAGAAATATCCTGATTTAATGAAGGTTACATTATTTCAAAACCCATCTCTTAAGCATACAGCTGAAGTTCATGAGAAGCATCCAAAATTCCTGTAACTTTACAAGTTTGGGTTTGAACCCAAATCTTCAAAACTTGAGCCAATAAGCTTCCAGTTTGTTAAAATTTATGCTCTCCCTGAGGTTAATAAACCCACCATACAATGAAATTCAGACCACTTTATGTTACTCACTACTGGAAATTTAAAGATTGAAAAGGTATGTAACTAAAGGGTCTAAATTATTTGTTAAATATCAATAACTTGAGTGAGAATTTTTTCCGTCAGGACATTCATCTTGCCAAAAGGTTTAGCGACATGGCAGCTCAGACCAGCCCTGATGCCCAGGCCCCAGTCTCACTAGCTCTGTTGAAGATAGGCGTGTTTTTTACTTGGGAATGGATTCAAGAGGTATCAGAGGAAATTGCTCCTAAAAGCTTTAAATTCACCTCCCACATCTGTTTTCAGAATTTCGCTTTTTCACGTAGAGAAATATTTTCTACAAAGTTACCGGCATTGATAGCTTTCGCTAAGCTTCTCCCAGATACTTTTAAAAATAGATTAAACAGAATTGAAAGATGTAAAATGTACTAGAGGTGTTAATATACATCGTTCAAAAGATCACAGAATAGCCCTAAAACGGGCGGAAAGTGGACGGAATGTCGAGAGGAAAAATAGGATAGTTAAAGTGGACTCAAGTTTTCGCTTTTGTTTCCCATGACAACCGTCAAGCGTTATTCCCCTGCTACATTGCTTGTCTCCTCTGACCAAGAGAGCCTGGCACAGCCAACCATTATTACGAAGAGATCGTGATCGACTGGCCCAGACTAATCTTTCAGATCTTCAAATGAACGTCTCTTTCCATAGTTTTCCATTTCTATCGATTTTTTTTTAGAATTACGGATCATTGAACTTGTCAAAGTTTACCAAATTTATTGGCGATGACTGGGATATTTATGCAATGACAGGACTTGCCCTCCTGTTTGGAATTCTTCTTCTACTTCGAAGGAGACAATAACCATCTTTTGTAGAATTTGTACAGTAACCGTAGCTTGTATGACTTTGCAAAAAATTTTTTATTTTAAGCATAATAAAATATTCCGGTTTCTTGTGGTTGGGTGAGTTTTACATTTAAGTTCCTATTTGTCGTAAAGGGCTAAGCTAAGGATGGAAAAGATTTACATCGACGAGAAACTGAGAACTCAGACACTCAAGGCAGGATTTACAAGCTGGATCATCTCTCGTTTAATTCCTTTTAACCAAGAGATCCATTAAATTTTATGCCATCGCAGTTTACTTGTTTTAGTTATCCTTCAATTTTTAACAGTTTCCGTGAATTAGTTCTTTATTTTTTTCAGAAACACTGCATGACCATTTGAGATTTTTAGCTGAGAATTTCCCATCAGAACAACTTAATGGCAGTTTTTTCTTTTACAAAATTGTTTATTTTCCTTTGTTTCAAACTCATTATCGTACATTCATGCAAACTCGAACTACGAGGGAACTTAATTATGATGCGCAAGAAACATTTGACCAAAATATTTTTATCCTCATTTACAACAAGCAAAAGGTAGCGAAAGGTTTGCTTTTGAGCGCCGTTTTTTCGCTACTACTACTACTTTTTTTTTGAAGCTACATCAACTAGTTGTATCAATGTTCACCTTTTTGCTACGCAATCACTGGTGTTCAACTCGAAAATTAAAATGTTCAGGTACTAAAAGCTCATCTTGATACTAGGGATTTTCACGACATACTTGTTTGAAAAAAATCACAGAATAAAATTGTACAAGGATCGCAAATTGCGCTCTAAACCAGCGCCTTGAACTTGTCTACATAGAAAAGTCAATCCATGTGTAAATGATCAAGTGACGAACACTGTTCTCATTTCTTCAGCATTGTTCGTTCTCTTCTTCAAATTCAAGCGTAACGTCGTCACCAATAATCACAAATGGAGCCCAGTTCTTTGGAGCACTAAACTTCTCAGATTCTCTTAGGCATTTCATAGCTTTATTGAGAGCCGTACTAGCATTGTCGCCATCCCTGAGATGTTTATAGAATGTTTTCATGAACTCCATTGTAGCCTCGTCACCAATTGCCCAGAGTGTCGCCAGAACCGAGCGGACACCAGAAGCTAAGAGAGCCCATGCAATACTGACCACGCCTTCGGCAGAAACTTTCCCTCGACCACTGTGACAACAGCTGAGCACGACAAGTCTTGCTCGGAGCTTCAGAGCTTTGATATCTGACATTTTTAGCATGTAGTCTTCCTTCTCCGGTTTCCGGTACTTCCTTGAAGGATTTGGGGCCAAACAAATGTCACCTGTCTCCGCGCTTCCGTGCGTTGCGATGTGGACCAAAGCGACAGAAGCAATGCGTTTCAATACTTCGTCTTTAGTCGCGTCCTTTCCGACGAGTGGTGTGACATTGATAATTTCTCCGATCATTTGCACTTCCTTTTCCGCGTGAGGCAATGGCTGTAACCGAGGTATTCCAAGGAGATCTGTTATCTCCTTGAAACATGGATTACCCACAAGCAGCGCCCCACTCTTACAATGGTAGTTTTCAGGACAATCGTTGATTAGTTTCAAAGTGGTCAGTGACGGAGCAATGCGAATCTTAAACGATTCACTGAGGTACTTGGAATCTTTGTCGACGAAGGCAGCAAAGGGAATCAGACCTAGTAGACCATCGGGAATAATGAGTAATTCATCACCTTTCAACTCGTTCGCGATGGGACCAATAACAGCATCATACAACAGCCGCAAGGAATTCCTCTGACTTTGTGGTGACTTCAACATTTCGTGACGAGTTTCTTTGTCCAGTGGCGATTCCTCTCGAGGCACATCCAGACGAAAGCTGTCCTTGGACAGTAACGCTGACATTTCATGACAAGAGTCTTCGTCTTGCTCCCACGCATCCATAGAACGATCCTCGCAGATAACTCGAGCAGCAAACTCATTTTCTTTGAAAGCTGCTTTTTTCAAACATTTTAAACAACAGGGACAGGGATTATTGCCGAACTTGTAATCGTGATTTGCTCCGTTTTGTCGAAACTGAACATCGTTCCCGTTACTGACCAGCCATATATTAATCGTCTCTTTTACAAGTGAAATGAAAATTGTTTGTGTGGAAACCAAAGGTGCTACGTCAGGCTCTAATGTCCTTGGCGGAGGAAATTCCATCTGATATTTTTGTTTCATGCAATCTTGTAAGACTTGTGCTCTTCCTTGATCAAGAACACACAAAGCCTCGCCAAAGTTTGAAAGTTTTAGCAAAATTCTGCACAGGGAATCGTACACACACTGTCGAGCATTTCGGAAGCATATTTTGTGAGCATCTTCAACCTTGATAATGTCCCTCGCATCATTTATGATCTTTACAGCGGACCGCTGATGATCCAGAGCTTCATGTAGGAAACCTAAGTCTTCCATAGTATGGCCAAGGATATGATACGACGTCCTCTCGCAAGCTTTGTTTCCTTGTTCTTTTGCAAAGGCAAGACTTTTCATACAGCAGTTAGTGGCTTCCTTGAAATTATTGAGTCTAAGATACGCCTTACCCAACTGGTGGTAGACACATCCTTCTTGCCCTCCTACCTCCTCTTCTTTATAAATGTTCAGAAATTGGCCGAAGAATTCGATGGCTTTCATAAAATTTCCTAGCTGTAGATAAGCCGAGCCAAAACCGTAATAGGACCTTGCCTCCGCTTTCCTATTCTGGAATTCTTTAGCAATGGCAAATTCTTCGTCAAAGTACGTTTTGGCTGTGCTGAACTTACCAAGCCTGTTATAAACGACCCCAAGGCTGTCGTAAGCGTCTAGTTCACAATCGAGGTCCCGTGCGTCTTTGGCGATGTCAAGTTGTTGCATGTAGCACTCCACTGCTTTTTCACAATCGTTTAAAGATAGATAAATATCGCCAAGGAGCAATTTAGCTCTTGCTTCCCTAACTCTATTCCCAGTGTTTCTGGCAGTGATCAGACTTTGCTCCGCCCGCTCTATGGCTTGTTCGTAATCATTGAGTGCACGATAGTATTTGCCAAGCTTGTGGTTTGCACGTTGCTCTCCATCTCGGTCTCCTAGTTCCTTAGAGATAATAAGGCATTTGTTTAAGTGTTTTACAGCTTGTTCATAATCTCTGAGTGTATAATAGCATTTGCCAAGGTTGTCGTGTGCACTTTTCTCTCCATCTCGGTCTCCTAGTTCTTTAGAGATAACGAGGCATTTGCTAAAGTGTTCCATGGCTTGTTTATAACCACTGAGTGCTAGATAGCAAAAGCCAAGGTTGAGGTTTGCTCTTTCCTCTCCATATCGGTGTCCTAGTTCTTTGGAGATAATAAGGCATTCGTTAAAGTGTTTCACGGCTTGTTTATGATCACTGAGTGCTTGATAGCAATGGCCAAGGTTGTGGTTTGCACTTTCCTCTCCAGCTCTATCGCTTAACTCTTTGCAGATGATAAGGCATTTGTTAAAATGTTCTACGGCTTGTTTATAATCACTGAGTGCTTGATAGCATTTTCCAAGGCCGTGGTTTGTAAATCCCTCTCCATCTCTGTCTCCAATTTCTTTGCAAATAATAAGGCATTTGATCAAGTGTTCCACGGCTTGTTTATGGTCGCTTAAGGTCATATAACAACGGCTAAGGCAGCGGTGTGCACATGTCTCCCCATCTCTGTCTCCAAGTTCTTCTGAAATAATAAGGAATTTGTTAAAGTGCGCTATGGCTTCTTTATAATTAGCAATGCTCAGATAACAGTGGCCAAGATCGCGGTTTGCATTTTTCTCTCCAGCTCTATCGCTTAACTCTTTGCAGATGATGAGGCATTTGTTAAAGTGTTCTACGGCTTGTTTATAATCACTGAGCGCTTCGTAGTATTTTCCAAGGCCATAGTTTGTAATTCCCTCACCATCCCTGTCTCCAATTTCTTTGCAAATAATAAGGCATTTGATCAAGTGTTCTACGGCTTGTTTGTAATCGCTTAGGGTAAAATAACAATGGCTAAGGCAGCGGCGTACACATGTCTCTCCATCTCTGTCTCCAAGTTCTTCTGAAATAATAAGGAATTTGTTGAAGTGCGCTATGGAGTCTTTATAATTACCCATGCGCAGATAACAGTAGCCAAGATCGCGGTTTGCATTTTTCTCTCTAGCTCTATAGTTTAACTCTTTGCAGATGATGAGGCATTTGTTAAAGTGATCTACGGCTTGTTTATAATCACTGAGTGCTTGATAGCATTTTCCAAGGCCGTGGTTTGTAAATCCCTCTCCATCTCTGTCTCCAATTTCTTTGCAAATAATAAGGCATTTGATCAAGTGTTCCACGGCTTGTTTATGGTCGCTTAAGGTAGAATAACAATGGCTAAGGCAACGGTGTACACATGTCTCTCCATCTCTGTCTCCAAGTTCTTCTGAAATAATAAGGAATTTGTTAAAGTGCGCTATGGCTTCTTTATAATTAGCCATGCGCAGATAACAGTGGCCAAGATCGCGGTTTGCATTTTTCTCTACAGCTCTATCGTCTAACTCTTTGTAGATGATAAGGCATTTGTTAAAGTGTTCTACGGCTTGTTTATAATCACTGAGTGCTTCATAGCATTTTCCAAGGCTGTGGTTTGTAATTCCCTCTCCAACTCTGTCTCCAATTTCTTTGCAAATAATAAGGCATTTGATCAAGTGTTCTACGGCTTGTTTATGGTCGCTTAAGGTCATATAACAACGGCTAAGGCAGCGGTGTACACATGTCTCTCCATCTCTGTCTCCAAGTTCTTCTGAAATAATAAGGAATTTGTTAAAGTGCGCTATGGCTTCTTTATAATTAGCCATGCGCAGATAACAGTGGCCAAGATCGCGGTTTGCATTTTTCTCTACAGCTCTATCGTCTAACTCTTTGTAGATGATAAGGCATTTGTTAAAGTGTTCTACGGCTTGTTTATAATCACTGAGTGCTTCATAGCATTTTCCAAGGCTGTGGTTTGTAATTCCCTCTCCAACTCTGTCTCCAATTTCTTTGCAAATAATAAGGCATTTGATCAAGTGTTCTACGGCTTGTTTATGGTCG